TAGTGTGTAATGTAGTGTATAATAGTGTAGTTTAGAGCGTAGCGTATAGCGTAGTGTGTAATGTAGTGTATAATAGTGTAGTGTACAGTGTAGTGTGTAATGTAGTGTATAATAGTGTAGTGTACAGCGTAGTGTGTAATGTAGTGTATAATAGTGTAGTGTATAGCGTAGTGTGTAATGTAGTGTATAATAGTGTAGTGTATAGTGTAGTGTGTAATGTAGTGTATAGTAGTGTAGTGTACAGTGTAGTGTGTAAAGTAGTGTATAATAGTGTAGTGTACAGCGTAGTGTATAGCGTAGTGTGTAATGTAGTGTATAATAGTGTAGTGTATAGTGTAGTGTGTAATGTAGTGTATAATAGTGTAGTGTATAGCATAGTGTGTAATGTAGTGTATAATAGTGTAGTGTACAGTGTAGTGTGTAATGTAGTGTATAATAGTGTAGTGTGCAGCGTAGTGTATAGCATAGTGTGTAATGTAGTGTATAATAGTATAGTGTATAGCGTAGTGTGTAATGTAGTGTATAATAGTGTAGTGTACAGTGTAGTGTGTAATGTAGTGTATAATAGTGTAGTGTACAATGTAGTGTGTAATGTAGTTTATAATAGTGTAGTGTATAGCGTAGTGTGTAATGTAGTGTATAATAGTGTAGTGTATAGCGTAGTGTGTAATGTAGTGTATAATAGTGTAGTGTATAGCGTAGTGTGTAATGTAGTGTATAATAGTGTAGTGTATAGTGTAGTGTGTAATGTAGTGTATAGTAGTGTAGTGTACAGTGTAATGTGTAAAGTAGTGTATAATAGTGTAGTGTACAGCGTAGTGTATAGCGTAGTGTGTAATGTAGTGTATAATAGTGTAGTGTATAGTGTAGTGTGTAATGTAGTGTATAATAGTGTAGTGTATAGCATAGTGTGTAATGTTGTGTATAATAGTGTAGTGTATAGTGTAGTGTGTAATGTAGTGTATAATAGTGTAGCGTATAGCGTAGTGTGTAATGTAGTGTATAGTAGTGTAGTGTACAGTGTAGTGTGTAAAGTAGTGTATAATAGTGTAGTGTACAGCGTAGTGTATAGCGTAGTGTGTAATGTAGTGTATAATAGTGTAGTGTATAGTGTAGTGTGTAATGTAGTGTATAATAGTGTAGTGTACAGTGTAGTGTGTAATGTAGTATATAATAGTGTAGTGTATAGCGTAGTGTGAAATGTAGTGTATAAGTGTAGTGTATAGAGTAGTTTGTAATGTAGTGTATAATAGTGTAGTGTATAGCGTAGTGTGTAATGTAGTGTATAACGTAGTGTAGTGTACAGCGTAGTGTGTAATGTAGTGTATAATAGTCTAGTGTACAGTGTAGTGTGTAATGTAGTGTATAATAGTGTAGTGTACAGTGTAGTGTGTAATGTAGTGTATAATAGTGTAGTGTATAGCGTAGTGTGTAATGTAGTGTATAATAGTGTAGTGTACAGCGTAGTGTATAGCGTAGTGTGTAATGTAGTGTATAATAGTGTCGTGTACAGTGTAGTGTATAGCGTAGTGTGTAATGTAGTGTATAATAGTGTAGTGTACAGTGTAGTGTGTAATGTAGTGTATAATAGTGCAGTGTATAGCGTAGTGTATAACGTAGTGTGTAATGTAGTGTATAATAGTGTAGTGTACAGTGTAGTGTGTAATGTAGTGTATAATAGTGTAGTGTATAGCGTAGTGTATAACGTAGTGTGTAATGTAGTGTATAATAGTGTAGTGTATAGCGTAGTGTGTAATGTAGTGTATAATAGTGTAGTGTACAGTGTAGTGTGTAATGTAGTGTATAATAGTGTAGTGTATAGTGTAGTGTGTAATGTAGTGTATAATAGTGTAGTGTATAGCATAGTGTGTAATGTAGTGTATAATAGTGTAGTGTACAGTGTAGTGTGTAATGTAGTGTATAATAGTGTAGTGTATAGCGTAGTGTATAACGTAGTGTGTAATGTAGTGTATAATAGTGTAGTGTATAGCGTAGTGTGTAATGTAGTGTATAATAGTGTAGTGTACAGTGTAGTGTGTAATGTAGCGTATAATAGTGTAGTGTATAGTGTAGTGTGTAATGTAGTGTATAATAGTGTAGTGTATAGCATAGTGTGTAATGTAGTGTATAATAGTGTAGTGTACAGTGTAGTGTGTAATGTAGTGTATAATAGTGTAGTGTATAGTGTAGTGTATAGTAGTGTAGTGCATCAGCATCATGATCCATGGGGCAGGTAGCCCCGTAGTAGTAGGCGGCGGTGTCCACTGCACATTTCGTTGTTGACACTTTCCTCTCTCTGTCTTGCAGTGCCAATATGTCCTCAAGCAGTGGCCACGTATTTCTGGCAACCTGATCTCTCATGATGTCGTCGTCGTCAAAGCCGTTCCTAGTATAGTAAACATTTAAAAACCCACACTCGGCGCCGAGCGCTTGCAGCTAGCTAAGAATCACGGGCAGAACTGGCTCGGGGGATCCCGGCCACGGCCACGCTGAACCCTCCCTGCACCGCCGTCCATCCCACGGGCCGCCACAAGCGCCCTCTTTGTCCCCGGTGGGGTGCGGCGCTGCCGGTGGCCATCGCTCCCAATTAGCGGCGCTCGATGGGGCGGGCTGCGCTAATTGAACGGACGGGAGAGCGGGCTGCAGGCGGTGACGCGGCAGCCGAATGTTCACGCTCGCGGGTTCGCACTGTGATGTCTCACGCTTCGCTGGGCATCTCTTCCGTGTGTCCCCCCGTGTCTCAGTGTGTCCCCACGTCCCTGTCTCTCGATGTCTCAGTGTCTCCCAATATCTCAGTGTGTCCCCATGTCTCTGTTTCCCCTGGTCCCTCTGTCCCCAGGTCCCTCTGTCCCCATGTCCCTCTGTCCCCATTTTCCTGTGTCCCCATGTCTCAGTATGTCCCCATTTTCCTCTGTCCCCAGGTCCGTGTCCCCACTTTTATGTATGTCATTGTGTCCCCTTGACTGTGTCCCCATGTCCCCACTTCTCAGTGCGTTGCCATGTCCGTGTATCCCAATGTCCCTATGTCCCTGTGTCCCCATGTCTCAGTGAGTCCCAATGTGTCTGCGTCCCCATGTCCCTCTTACCCCATGTCTGAGTGTGTCCTCACTTGCGTGTGCGTTCCCATTTCTGTGTGTCTCCACGTCCCAGTGTGTTCATGTCCCTGTGTCTCTACTTCTCTGTGTGTCCCCATGTTGCTGTGTCCTCACTTTAGGGGGAGGGGATATCCCTCAAATATTGGAGGAAGCAGCCAACTCCTGTGAGTGGCTGGCTGATGTGCCATCTATTTAGCAAGCATGGAGAGCGATCCAAAGTATGAAATCCGGCAAAGGTGGCATTTGTGTGCAGGATTCCCTCCAGCGGGAGGCCATAAAAGGTCCTGGAAAAGATTATTCAATATCCCCTTTTTGCCAGAGGTGTAGAGTATTTCAACAGGACCTATATCTCTGCTTTATTGACCTGGTCAATGCCTATGATACCATCAATAGGCCAGGGCTCTGGGTTATTCTTCATGCTTTTGGGGTCACTGACCCTCTCTGCTCACAAGCATTGTGGGCCTTTATGATGGTGGTAAGCAAGCCCCGGTAAAGCTGCTTGGCCAGGATTCGGAGCCATTCCCCGTTCACCTTTGGGTGCGAGAGAGATATCCTCTGGCTCCCACATTATTTAACATCGTTTTGACCACGCAGTTCGAGAAGCCTTCCATGGCTGTACTGGAAGAATCTCCATTTGGAACAGATACAATGGGAGGCTGATCGATGCCCGGGTGTGATGGAGGGATGGCTCTCTATTTGGTCAAACATGTTATGTACGCTGATAATCTGATAATTGCTGCCCACTGAGAAGTTGGAAACTCTTTTATTGAACCTGGAGCATGCCACTAAGAGGTGGGGGGACGTTACTATCAGTCCCACAAAAGCGAAACACCTGCCTGGGTTTGGTATGCCATCACACACTCCAAAAACCATGAGTGATGGGGCGGTTGTGGAGAGAGTGGAGGAGTTTCCATACCTGGGCAGTGTGCTTATGACCAGCTCCGGTTTAATAGCAGAGGTCTCACTCCGAATCAATCGAGCGGCATTATCTTTTCATCAGCTGCATAAGGCTGTATGGAAACTACTTGGTCTGTCGTACCACATGAAGCTCCGGGTCTTCTTGGCCACAGTTACGCCCTGCCTTTCACAATTGATAGCTCAACGAAGTGGCTTATTACGTGGAAATGTAAAGCAGCCAAATACTCTAAATGCATTTCTAAATGCGGAGGGAAATACCAGAGGCCCCGGAGAAAAGTCCACACGACCACGGGGAGAAAATGCAAACTCTAAACAGGTTGTCAGACTCGGGATCGAACTCACGACCTCTTGTATACCAGGCGAGGTAGTTCACATCTCGCCACCATCCCATTGGCGAGCTCCTCCAGGAGACAAGACTGCGTTGGCTGGGTCATGTAGCCTACACGCCCAGCCACCGGATGCCCAAGTATCTTCTGTTTGGCCAGATAGAGGGTGCTAAATGGACATGACAAGGACTGGAGAAGAGATGGAATGATGCGGTGAGGATGTGCAGCAGAGTTGACTTGCCGATGACTGGAACCAGCCTCGTCAAGATCAACCTCCGTTGAGAAGGACGGAACTGGCCAGTTGGAGCCAGTCGCCCTCCACCAACAACAACAACGGAGAACAGAGAAGCAACGCTCACAACAACAAGCGGAGCGCCAGGTGGCTAAAACGCAGTGAGTTGTCACAGTAGGGGGCACAGGTGGTGCATCTGCCAGTCATCTCATTCACAGTCAGTCAACCCATGGCACCAGCTGGCTCAGTCCCGTAACCTCCTGCCACTGAGCTTTCGGCACTTCACATGGCTTAAAAGTGCATCTAGCCTGGCACAAGCGCTGTGGAGACATTACCGCCACTTATTAGCAAAACATTGGCTGCTTTTGTTGTTGTGTGTTGTGTGTTTTGTGTCAGAGTGCCAGGCATGCCCCCCGTGGCCTCACGCACCGGTGCTTGAGAAGCTGGCGGAGTAACTCATTTCCACGGTTGGTGGACGGATCCTCGGGGCTGCGCCAGAGGGAGGAGGGGGGCAGGGAGACAAAAACCGACAAGCCCTTAGCACCAAGTCGGTGAGCAATGTCGAGCATTGGTGGGTCGCATGAGGAGAGAACATGCAACCTCCACTCACTCACTCTGTAGAACAGGGGCAGAGAACATACAACCTCCACTCACTCACTCTGTAGAACAGGGGCAGAGACATACAACCTCCACTCACTCACTCTGTAGAACAGGGGCAGAGAACATACAACCTCCACTCACTCACTCTGTAGAACAGGGGCAGAGACATACAACCTCCACTCACTCACTCTGTAGAACAGGAGCAGAGAACATGCAACCTCCACTCACTCACTCTGTAGAACAGGGGCAGAGAACATACAACCTCCACTCACTCACTCTGTAGAACAGGAGCAGAGAACATGCAACCTCCACTCACTCACTCTGTAGAACAGGGGCAGAGACATACAACCTCCACTCACTCACTCTGCAGAACAGGAGCAGAGAACATGCAACCTCCACTCACTCACTCTGTAGAACAGGAGCAGAGACATACAACCTCCACTCACTCACTCTGTAGAACAGGAGCAGAGAACATGCAACCTCCACTCACTCACTCTGTAGAACAGGGGGAGATCACACACACTCCACTCACTCACTCTGTAGAACAGGAGCAGAGAACATGCAACCTCCACTCACTCACTCTGTAGAACAGGGGGAGATCACACACACTCCACTCACTCACTCTGCAGAACAGGAGCAGAGAACATGCAACCTCCACTCACTCACTCTGTAGAACAGGAGCAGAGACATACAACCTCCACTCACTCACTCTGTAGAACAGGAGCAGAGAACATGCAACCTCCACTCACTCACTCTGTAGAACAGGGGCAGAGAACATGCAACCTCCACTCACTCACTCTGTAGAACAGGAGCAGAGACATACAACCTCCACTCACTCACTCTGTAGAACAGGGGCAGAGAACATGCAACCTCCACTCACTCACTCTGTAGAACAGGAGCAGAGACATACAACCTCCACTCACTGTCACTCAGACAAAGGTCACCCATGTAACCTTCAACAGGCTGTTGGGGAAAGTGCTGTTAGCGAGCACCTATTAAGGCCGGCACAGCAACCAAGGGGGTGGGGTGGCCAGCACCATACCCAGCCGCCTTTGTCTCCCCAGTGCTGTTTAAACACCATACTCTAAGGCTGAGTCAACATAGAGAGTGGTTTGGAGCAGCAGTGCGCTAATCGCTGCGCCATCACTCCCAGCACCCCACCCCCTGCTCGCCCCCTCGCACACATTCCCGCAGAACAGGAGGGCGAGCGCAAACCTCCCCCCCGGCGGGAATCGAACCGCAGCTGCGTGGCGTGGCCGGTGGTTCCCCCAGAGGGGGTGTTGTAGGTAATCAGTTATAGACCAGGCAGCCTCTGGGAGGTGGTGGTTGCGAAGGCGGTGGGGGAAGGAATGCATTGGCGGCTGTTCACGTGAGAATGCCACACTGCTTTGCACATGAATGGACGGGCAGTGGCGCGTAACCTACACTGTACGTACTAAAGACAAAGATCCCCCGTGTAGCCTTAACAGACTGTTGGGACAAGTGCTGTTAGCGAGTAGAACCTATGAAGGCCGGCACTTTGGCACACAAGAGGGTGGGTGGCCAGCACCACGCCCAACCGCCTTTGTCTCCCCAGTGGCGATGTTTACTACACACCGCACCAGGTACTCAACATGAGGCCGAGTCGACCTAGGGGAGGGCCCAGGACCGTTTCAGATAATCGTCACCGGTGCGGGTGACCCCTCACGCACGCGCGGCCACCCAGTTGCAAAGTGAGCGGCTCGCAATGAGAATGTCGCGAGTTCAAATGCAGGTTGAGGTTTGGCTCCGCCCCATCATCCTTTTGGCGTTGATAAAATGAGTACCACTTTGCGGCAGATCAAACAGCAGTTGTCCTATGGATAGACTTGTCCCCGCCATAGGGATGTGGAATTTCCACCAATGATTCAAGACTGAGAACGGGAGATGAGCCCCAATTCATTTTAAAAACCGCAAAAACAAAGATCGCCCATATAGCCTTTACCAGGATGTTGGGGCAAGTGCAGTTAGCGAGCAGCACCTATGAAGATTGACACGCCACACGAGGGGGTGGTGTGGCCAGCACCACGCCTGGCCACCTTTGTCTCCCTTTGTGGCGACGTTTACTACACATCGCACTGGGTACTTAATTAAGGCCGAGTCAACCTAAGGGAGACCCAGGACTGATTAAAAAATCGTCACTGGTGCTGGCCATGAGCGAGAATCGAATTCGGGTCGCCGGGTTCGTAGCGGAGCATACTAGCCGCTACACTACCGCTCTCCACACAAAATTAACCGCTATTTACCATTAAGTGATGTCACCACGGCACCTGTGCCAAGTTTTGTGCACTTTGAGGCCACGTGAAGTGTCAAAGGCCCGCTATCAGTTAACAGGATAGACCCCCAGGTGCCATGGGTTGACTGACTGAGATGACTGGCTGATGCACCACCTGTGCCCCCTACTGTCAATAGCGGAGAAAGGATTTTCAGGTAGGAGGGGCAATCCCTCCAGCAATGACAAATGATAGGAGTTGTGAGTAAGTAAGGACTTGCCACTTGCTTTTTATTCGACAAGTGTGCGGCGATGGCTCAGCCATCGATCGAGGGTCGAATTCGAACCGAGCGTGATCGGCATCGCGCTCGCTGAAGGTATTTGCCTTCAGGGAAGTCGTGTACTGTATACGCAACTGCGCACAATTCTGAGTCACTTATAACCGCTTTGCCGTTACTTATTGCCAATTATGGACTCAGGCTATTGTCCTATCATCTCATAGAGTCCCTGGCACGTAATAATATGCTACACAGTGGCAGTTGGGGTTGCAAAATGCCGATTTATCTCTATATATATAAAAGGGTAATTTGTGATTACGTGTGTCTGTTCAAAATGTTTAGCGTACTTCCTGACATGCAACAAACTTGAAATTTTCCACTGTACACCAGGCAAAAATGATAAAAATACACTTTTGTGTTTTTTTTGGGGGGGGGGCTCAATAATGCATATTTTTTTGCACGGCAAGTGAGCTGTGACGTCACATCTGTCATGTGGAAGCGTAACGCATTGTAGTGTAGCGGGTAGCGCTACGCTGCACTACGAACCTGGCGACCCGAGTTCGATTCCTGCTCACGGCCACCACCGGTGACGATTTCGATCGGATCATTGGGGGGGCAAGTGCCACCCCACACCCCACTGGCTCCGCCAGTGCCTACTTTGCCAACTTTGTGTTTTATCCGCCTGGTGTTCTGCTCGTTGTTGTGAGCATCGCTCCTCTGCCTTCCGCTGTTGCTGGAGGGTGACTGCCTCCAACTGCCCAGCAGCATCCTTCATGAGCCTCCTCCTCCACATAGGCCGATGACACACACACGCACAAGCCCACACACGGACAATTGCACTGACGCACATTTAAACACACAATCTTACACATGCATGCACACACAATTAGCCACGCACTGATGCACACGTATACAAACACACACAGACCTAAACAAACTGGAAGATACATACACATTCACAAAGACAAATGTCCCCCGTATAGCCTGAACAGATTGTTGGGGCAGGTGCTGTTAGCGAGCACCTCTGGCCAAGTGCTGTTAACGAGCATCTACGAAGGTCGTCACGGCACACGAGGGGGTGGGTGGCCAGCAGTACCATGCCCGGCCACCTTTGTCTCCCCAATGGCGATGTTTACTACACACCGCACCAGGTACTCTTTTTTGAGGCCGAGTCGACCTAGGGGAGGCCCAGGACCGATTCAGATAATCGTCACCGGTGTTGGGTGTGTGCGGGAATCGAACTCAAGTTGCTGGGTTCGTAGTGGAGTGCGCTCATCACTGCGCCACCAAAAGACAAAGATCCCCCGTGTAGCCTTGACGGACTGTCTGGGCAAGTGCTGTTGGCGAGCAGCACCCATGAAGGCCGGCAATGTGCGGTGGCCAGCACCACACCCGGCCGTGGGTTGCCGGGTTCGCAGCGCAGCACGCTAACAGCTACACTACCATTCCCCACTACACATTCACACACACACACATTAGATTGCAGAATCGCTAAAAGAGAATGTTGGGGCAAAGTGCTGTTGGCGAGCAGCATGCCTGGAAACCTTTCGTGTAAACCGCACGTGCACCGATCGCGTAATATTCGAGGTTACCGAGGCTCTACATATCTAACTTTGACTTCACCGTGGTGTACAAGTTTGTATCATCAGCATATTGATGGCACTTGATGTCATGCGATGAGATGACATGGGCGATCGGAGAGACGTTTGTTGAAAACAGGAATGGCCCGAGGATGGAAGCCTGTGGCACTCCAACTAGGCACGGCATAGGCGATGACTGTTTATTGCCCAGCTTGCCGAACTGTGATCGACCACGTAGGCATGACTCAATCCACCCCAGTGCCGTACCCGATACACCGAACCTTGACCTCGGCTGCCTGATGAGTATTTCATGGTCGATGGTGTCGTGGGCCAATCAACACTGTGGTGCACCAGTCATCCATAATCTTGCAGATGTCATCAGTGGTCTTTAGTAGAGCTGTCTCAGTGGCGTGAACTTCCAGTACGCCGACTGCAATGGGTTGAATCTGCCCATCGCAGCGACGTATGGAAGTAACCGCTTCAGACACAGGCGCTCTATGACCTTTGAAATCGTACTCAGGTTTGAGATCGGGCGATAGTTTGCGAGGTAGCCGTGGTATTACCTGCACCATTTTGAACCAGTGTGGGAAACAGCCCCTCACTGAATAAAATATTTGCCAGGTGGACAATCGGCGACGCAAGCACGTCCGAGCATGATTTGAGAATCGATGTAGTCGTGCAATGAACAGACACCTCTGCCACCGAAGTTGGTATCAGGGTCTCGAGTTTAGCATTGGTTCCAGGTTGATCAGACCATGAGAATGTGATGCCTTCAAGTTAGAAACTGCCGTATTGATTGTTACTATTTTATTGGAGAAAAAACGTGTCAAGTGCTATGCACAGATCAGTTGACTAGTTGATGGGTGGTTGGAGTGCAGCAGAACTTTCACGACGCACCACAGAGCACGGGCGTTGTGAGCCGACTCATTAACTTGCAGAGCATAGAACGATCTGCGAGACTCAATAATGAGTCGGTTGGCAGATCTGCAGGCAGCTCTGCAAGCGAGTTTTTGGACAGTTTCAAAACCAGTTTTCTTCCAAAGACGCTCCCAGCTTCCTCCCCATGTCTGCTTCGCAGCCATCGACTCCGGTGACAGCCGGTTGCTGCGCACTTTCCCCGTTTACTTCGCGCTTGTTGTTCGGATGAGGCACGTGTCCATCAAGAACAGCGGCGATGCCATTTGCTCATTGAGCTGCAAACGAATCGACCGTTGGATGCAGGTTTTCGACATGCCGATGATGCCCGGAACTTCTGACGGAAAGCATCGTGGTCCGGTCGTTCCCAGCCTCGGCACGATATCGTTGTGAAGGGTGGGCGAGTACGGCTACCTCTCGTTTTAAGCGGGGGTTGTGTTCTTGAAAAACGGCGCATAACTCGTAATAGCCTCAATTAAGAAAACATTTTCCCATAAGAAATAAAGGAAGTGGTTGAGGTTAGGGAGAGCACGCTATCGAACCTCATTCTTACGTTTACATATTTCACTGGTTAGAGTAACATATATTATATTTATACTAGCATATGCGTATTACAGATAGTAGCAGCCTATTTAAAGAAACAAAATACAAAAATAAAGTCAAACACAAAGGTATGTTGCGCATAGTGAGAACCTTACCAGACATTGGTAGGCAAATGTTGCACAAGACAAAGTTCAAACGGACAAGATCTTCAGAATGGCGAGCGAGGAGGAGACGCTGATGCTGCTGCTGCCCGCGCTTGTGGTGGTTGCCGTACTGCTGCTGCACCTCAGGCAGCAGAGCTGTTCAACTTTGCTGCCCCGACTAACGGGTGAGCTCGCAGCGCGTTCCGTAACACCGTGAGAAAACTCGCTGGAGCGCGTTATTTCAATAATTGTGTGCGCGTAACAAAAATAAGTGTCAGTTAATCTAACGCGCCGTTTCTTAAATCGCGTTACGTAAACGCGCGTAATATGCCAGACGACTGTAATGGTTATTTCCACTTCACATGTCAAGAGGCTGCGATCTGCAATACCCTACGTCTTCATTAACAACGTAGGTCATGGTTACAGAATAAGCGTGATCCGGTATATTTCCCGAGCGACATGCCGCACAGCTAACGTTGCTGTGGGGTTAAACTGTGATTGTACGATAATCTCGGTGCGAGATCTCTGTTGATTTTGCCACGAGAACCGGCACGGTCCGGGACAGTTCAGGTCACTACAGGTGATGTAGCAAAGTTGATCCATGCAGCCTATCAGACCAGAAAGCTGGCAAAAGATTTCCAACAGCGGTCAATAGATGACAGCGATCGTGAGCCACTGCATGCCGCTTCGTTATTTTTACAAGCAGCAGCAACAGCTCGAATGACGCGATTGTTAACTAGTCGCTCAGGACCTTTACGCAGAAAGAGATGTGGGGGTGAGTGAGAGGTAAGGGTGAGTGAGAGGTGAGTGTGAGGTGAGGGTGAGTGAGAGGTGGGGGTGAGTGAGATGTGGGGGTGAGCGAGAGGTGAGTGTGGCGAGAGTCAGTGCGGTGAGCGTGAGGAAGTCACTCACGTGGTGGAGATGATCTCGTCACGCGTTCTCCGAATGAGAATCACGGGGCCCGGGTACCTGGGGACACGCGGGGACACTCGGGGTCATGTGGGGACATGTCCCAATATGGCCAAGGCAAAGACAAGATAGAGACAAGGGCAAGTGTTGTTAGTAAGGCTGAGTTGACCGAGGGGAGACCCAGGATCAGTTCAGATAATCATCGCCGGTGTTGGCCGTGAGGGGGATCTGAACTCGGGTCGCCGGGTTCGCAACGCACATATACACATACATACACATCTACACATACATACACATATACACATACATACACATCTACACATACATACACATCTACACATACATACACATCTACACATACATACACATCTACACATACATACACATCTACACATACATACACATCTACACATACATACACATCTACACATACATACACATCTACACATACATACACATCTACACAAATATACACATCTACACATACATACACATCTACACATACATACACATCTACACATACATACACATCTACACATACATACACATCTACACATACATACACATCTACACAAATATACACATCTACACATATATACCATACAATCTACACATACATACACATCTACACATACATACACATCTACACATACATACACATCTACACATACATACACATCTACACATACATACACATCTACACATACATACACATCTACACATACATACACATCTACACATACATACACATCTACACATACATACACATCTACACATACATACACATCTACACATACATACACATCTACACATACATACACATATGAACATACTGTTTGGTTCTTTCGGTGAAGTCACGTAGGTATAAAATAAAATAAATCACGACGTTTCGGGCGCAACACAAGCGTCCATCATCAGGTGGGAAAGCGTGGCCTGCTGCTACATGTGCACACGTGTGTATGTGTCTTCGTATAAGTATGTGTGTACGTGCGTGTGTGTGTATACACACATAACACACGTGCACACACGTGCACACACGTGTACACACGTGCAAAAGCAAAAACACAAAGACCCCCGTAGAGCCTTAACAGTGTTTGGGGGCAAGTGCTGTTTGCGAGTAGCACCTACCTATGAAGGCCGGCAACGGCACACGTCCACACACGCTACTACGGCTGTCAAGCTGTTCATGCTAAGAACACAACAGCTTGCTCGTGTGCAGAGCATGCACAGCCCTGCCTGCCGCTGTCGCTCAACGGCTGCACGAGAGCCACGGTGTGATAGGGACATGGCTACCTGCACAGCTGATCTGCGTTGTTGAGGTTCAGGTAGTCACGGACGGTGCGCACCACCAACGAGCCTGGCACACGCACGGACGCACACACGCAGCAGCAACACCACCACCAATAATCACTTACACCAACACAGGGGTACACATACATTCTAGATTTGAAGCTTTCGTGACTGCAAGGATTCATACTCTTAGGTGTTTTCGGTAAAGTCACGTAGATAAAAATAAATAATAATTAATAAAATAATAATAATAATAATAGAAATAAAATAATAAATCACGACGTTTCAGGCGCAACACAAGCGTCCGTCATCAGGTGGGACAACCACAGCAAGAAACAAATGCTGAAGTGGGCAGACTTCCGACTGTTGGGGCAAGTGCTGTTAGCGAGTAGCACCTATGAAGGTCGGCACAGCACACGAGGGGATGCGTGGCCAGCACCACGCCCGGCCGACTTTGTCTCCCGAGTGTCGGTGTTTACACATTGCATCAGGTACTCATTTGAGGCTGAGTCGACCTAGAGGAGGCCCAGGACCAGTTCAGATAATCGTCACTGGTTTTGGCTGGGAGCGGGAATCGAACCTGGGTCGCCAGGTTCATAGCGCAGCGCGCTAACCGCTACACTACCGCTCCTCACACACACTCGCTCACAATCACACAATAACACGCTCACATTCACACACTCATACTCACACACTAACACCCACATACGCTCACACTCACACACTCTCACCCACATTCACACGCTCACACTCACACACACACGCTCACACTCACACACTTACACCCACACAAGCTCACACTCACACTCACCCACATTCACCCACACACGCTCACACTCACACACACATGCTCACACTCACACATTCACCCACACACGCTCAAACGCTCACACACTCACACCTACACACGCTCACACTCACACACTAACACCCACATTCACACACACACGCTCACACTCACACCCACACACGCTCACACTCACACACTAACACCCACATTCACACACACACGCTCACACTCACACCCACACACGCTCACACTCACACATGCTCACACACACTCTCACCCACATTCACCCACACACGCTCACACTCACACACACACGCTCACATTCACACACTCAAACCCACACACGCTCACACACTAACACCCACACATTCACTCACACTAACACCCACACATTCACACACTAACACCCATACATTCACACACTCACACACTAACACCCACACACAGGTCATGACGTAACAGTGGATGTGAGTAGATGCGGTAAGAGATGCTTTATTTTTTAAAGGTGCGATGAGGTAAGCAAATATCAGACGAGGTACTGGGAGCTGTGACGAGGTGTGACGTGGTGTTGTGAGGTGTGACGTGGTGTGATGAGGTACTGTGAGGTGTGACGAGGTGTGACGAGGTGTGACGAGGTACTGGGAGCTGTGACGAGGTGTGACGTGGTGTTGTGAGGTGTGACGAGGTGTGACGAGGTGTGACGAGGTACTGGGAGCTGTGACGAGGTGTGACGAGGTGTGACGAGGTACTGGGAGCTGTGACGAGGTGTGACGTGGTGTTGTGAGGTGTGACGAGGTGTGACGAGGTACTGGGAGCTGTGACGAGGTGTGACGAGGTGTGACGAGGTACTGTGAGGTGTGACGAGGTGTGACGAGGTGTGACGAGGTACTGGGAGCTGTGACGAGGTGTGACGTGGTGTTGTGAGCTGTGACGAGGTGTGACGAGGTGTGACGAGGTACTGGGAGCTGTGACGAGGTGTGACGAGGTGTGACGAGGTGTGACGAGGTGTGACGAGGTACTGGGAGCTGTGACGAGGTGTGACGAGGTGTGACGAGGTGTGACGAGGTACTGGGAGCTGTGACGAGGTGTGACGAGGTGTGACGAGGTGTGACGAGGTACTGGGAGCTGTGACGAGGTGTGACGTGGTGTTGTGAGGTGTGACGTGGTGTGATGAGGTACTGTGAGGTGTGACGAGGTGTGACGAGGTGTGACGAGCTGTGACGAGGTGTGACGAGGTGTGACGTGGTGTGATAAGGTACTGTGAGGTGTGACGAGGTGTGACGAGGTGTGACGAGGTACTGGGAGCTGTGACGAGGTGTGACGTGGTGTTGTGAGCTGTGACGAGGTGTGACGAGGTGTGACGAGGTGTGACGAGGTGTTGTGAGGTGTGACGAGGTGTTGTGAGGTGTGACGAGGTGTGACGAGGTGTTGTGAGGTGTGACGAGGTGTTGTGAGGTGTGACGAGGTGTGACGAGGTGTTGTGAGGTGCGGAGACTCACCCCAGCTGCTGGGCATGACCTTGGTGGCCAGGGGCACGATGTCATCAAACGAGGCATCCAGCACAAGCCCACTGACTTCTGGGTAAGACATGGCTGCCCAGGTGGCTGCAGAGGAGAGGGGGGTGGTGGTGGGCACAGCAAAGACAAAGATCCCCCGTGGAGCCTTCAGCAGACTGTAGGGGGGCAAGCGCTGTCCGTAGCGAGCTGCGGCGCCTACGAAGGCTGGCACGGCATTTGTGCGCGTCTGTGTCTATACATACGTGTGCGCGTGTCTGTGTGAGTATGTGTACTTGTGTGTGCTTATGTTTGCTTGTGAGTGTGTGTGCGTATGTGTGCGTCTGTGTGTGTATGTGTGCGTGTCTGTGTGCTTGTGTGTGTGCTTCTGTATGCTTGTGTGTGCTTCTGTATGCTTGTGTGTGCTTCTGTGTGCTTCTGTGTGCTTATGTGTGCTTCTGTGTGCTTCTGTGTGCTTATGTGTGTGCATATATTCAATTAACAATCAATTTGGTAAATGGCAGTTTTCGTGGAACGGATTAAAAAAACATTAACAAAGGTACTATGACTGTACTGGGGGATCTTTGTCTGTGTGTGTCTGTCTGTGTGTGTGTCTGTCTGTCTGTCTGTGCGTCGGGTGGCTTAAAATACAAAAAGTTGGCACAAAAGAGTGTACAGCTGGTGCATCTGCCAGTCATCTCAGTCAGCGAACCCACGGAACCCGCGTCTGTCCCGTGACCTTCTGTCAGCAAGCCTTCGACACTTCACATGGCCTCAAAGCGCACCTGGCCTGGCACAGGCGTCGTGGTGACGTCACAGGTAGTCCCCAAGCTACGGCAGTGTTGCGGGTTCTCGAGAACGATCCGTAACCCGAATTTTTCGTATGTAGGACATTGAACAATTTTTCCCCCAAAATCAAGATGAAATCTCATAGCCAGAAATATTTGTGCCTCCCCTACCCAGTTACTCGTTGGCTTTCTCTCAGTTCCGTATTGCGCTGTTGCTATCTCGTACTGTATCGTATCACTGTACTATACGCTCTGCACTTCCTACGATTATTTAATTTAATCGAATATCACCCTAACACTACCCATAATTAAACTAATGGAACATGTACTGTATCAAATGGTTTATGAATACCACAAAACATATTAACTGTTAACAGAAAGCAGTCGCTTCCGAATGTTTGTTTACTGTGCATTAGGCTAGGCCTAGACTTCTCCAATCTCTGTTAGCTGAGACCATAAGCAATCAAAGTGTCAAATAAAGTACGTAAAGTGAATAACTAATGAAATAAACTTAAAATTAAGAAAAATAGCAATAAAAATATGGGAAAAAAATATAATTATGAGCGTAGAAAACAAAAAATGATGCAATGCAGAGTGGCTATACACCACCGCATTGGGGAAGATGCTGGCCTGCCTTACGCTTCGCTGCGCGGTATTCCTCGCCGCACTGCACGATTTTCACTTCCATAACTAATCCAAACATTTCCGCAAATTGACATTTCAGGATTCATGGGAGCATTTCCGTAAGGTCGGATTTCCGTAAGTCGGGTCTTCCGCAAACTAGGGACTTACTCTATTAGTATTGGTATGTGTGTCTGTGTGTTTGTGTGTCTGTGTGTCTTTGTGTACGTGTCTGTGTGTGCGTGTCTGTGCTGACCAGGGAGAGGTAGTGTAGCGGTTTGCGCGCTGCGCAACGAACCTGGTGACCCGAAATCGATTCCCGCTCAAGGCCAACACGAGTGACGATTATCTGAACCGGTTCTTGGGCCTCCTCTAGATCGATTCAGCCTCAAATGAGTACCTGATGCAGTGTGCAAAAACATTGCCTCTGGGGAGACAAAGGCAGCCGGGCGTGGTGCTCGCCACCCACCCCCTCTCGTGTGCCGCGCCAGCCTTCGCTAGCACTTGCCCCACAAGTCTGTTAAGGCTATACGGGGAATCTTTGTCGGTCTGTGTGTATGTGTCTGTGCGTATGTGCGTCTGTGTGCTGACCAGGGAAGCCTCCGATGGACCAGGCGTAGAGTACGATCTGTGTTGGCTGGAAGCCGAGGCGCTCCGTCGCGTACTGCATCACCACGTCCATTGCGTTGGCTTCGGCCTGCGGGAACGGAACGCCCTACACCGCGCCACGTGGCAGCACCACCGCATGAGACCATCACCACCAGCACTAACACCACCAGAACCACTAACACCACAATCAACACCGCCACCAACACCACCAGCACCACTAACACCACTATCATTACCGCCAGCAACACCACCAATACCAATACCCGCCATTCGCCACTAAGTGACGGTGACATCCCCACGGCCCCTGTGCCAGGCCAGCAACACCACTAGGACTACCAGCGCCACTAACACCACCGCCACTGACACCACCACCAGCACCACTAACACCACCACCAGCACCGCTAACACCACCGCCACCAACACCACCGCTACCGCCAGCAGCAACACCAACAGCAGCAACACCGACAGCAGCACCCACACCACCGTCACCACCACGGCCACCGCCGCCACTATCATCATCATCACTACCACCAACATCATCACCACCACCAACAACACCAGCAGCACCACCACCAACATCGTCAACATCACCACTACCACCAACAGCACCCACCACCAGGAGCACCACTAACACCCCTAAAACCACCATCACCACCAACACCACCACCAGCACCGCCACCACCACCAGTACCAACACCACCACCAACACCACCATCACCACCAACACCACCGCCACCACCACCAACACCACCAACGACAAATATCCCCCGTATAGCCTGTAACAGTCCTGTAAGTGAGTATCACTAACGACACCTATGAAGGCCGGCAGGACACGCGACAGGGTGGGTGGCCAACACCACACCCGGCCGCCTTTGTCTCCCAAGTGACGATGTTTACACATCGCACCAGGTGCTCATTTCTGGCTGCATCGATCTAGGGGAAGCCCGGGCCCAGTTCAGATATTCGTCACTGATGTTGGCCTTGAGCGAGAATCAAACCTGGGTCGCCGGGTTCATAGCGCAGCGCGCTAATCACTACGCCACCGCTCCCCACCATCTACATTAGCACCGCCACCATCACCGCCACCACCACCGCCACCACTATCACTACTACGAGGATGCTGAGAGGGGAAAAGGGGACAGAGGGGTGTGTAGAGTCAAGAGGGGTGGGAGTTCAGGGGGACTGCTCGGCTCACCGTGCTGCCTGCGAATCCGGGGTGGTTCCACCCCAGCACGGAGTATCCGGCTGCAAAACAAAGAGGGGATCCTCCACATGGGCTGACACCAACACCAACAGCAGCGGTTTTGTTGCTACAGGATGACTCGTCCCTGCCGTATGAATGAAAGTAGGGGCGCCACGGTGGCTCAGAGATGTTAACTCCCTCACCTGGTATACAGGAGGTCGTGGGTTCGGGCCCGGCCCTATTTGGAGTCTGAGTGTTCTCTTGTCTCTCTCTCTCCCCGTGGGCGTGTGGATTTTACTCCAGGTAATCCGGTTTTTCCCTTCCACATTGAGAATTAACGTGCATTTAGAGTATTTGGCTGCTATACTTTTCCACGTGGTAAGCTGCTTCGTTGAGCTGTTATTACATGTGGCAAGTTCGCTTCTGAAAAAGAGCTATATAGCTCAGTGGGCCTTGCCTGGTACAATATTAGTTTCGTTTTAATTTCCACTACTGGCCTAGGGCCGTTTTGAACTGTTTCCGTTACGTTTCAGGATTAGAATCTTTACGGATCGGAATCAAGAATCTTTATTTAGACTAGAGGAGGCATCCGATGAGCTCTGGAGCTCTTTCCCACAGATGTCTAGTAGCGGTGTAAAACAGAGATAAACTATAAGCTACTTAAACTATTTTTTTTTCAGAAGCGACCTGGCCACACGTAATCATTGTGTGGAAATTTATAGCAGTAGCCAAATACTCTCTAAACGCATTGACGTTGATTCTAAATGTGGAGGAAAAAAACGGAGGACCCGGAGAAAAATCCACGCAACCATGGGGAGAGAAATACACCCAAACTCCAAATATACAGCAGCAGGCGTCAGGGTCTGGATCGAACCCATGACTTCCTGCATACCAGGCGAAGGCGTTAACAACTCACCACTGTGGCACCCCAAAAAAGGTAAGCACGTCATGAAATAAAAAGTAGAACAAAAGGTTTGTTATCCGGGCATCCATGGGGAATGGAGGGTTCCGGTTCATCAGATATCCCGGTGATCTGAGAGTCTTACACGGTAGTAGTTGTGTACCTGAAGTACACCACGTTGAATTAAATCTTTCGAGACTGCAGGAATTCATATTCCTTGCGTCTTTCGGTAAAGTCACGTCGATAGGTTCGAAGAACACAACAAAAAAACGACTACTTTCTTTGAACCTATCTACGTGACTTTACAGAAAGACCCAAAGAATATTTACACCACGTTATGGGGAAAAAATCACCGTCCGTGATAACACGTGAGATGCGTACGTAAGCAAAATAAAAGCCGAAGGAATGTGGGTAGCATCAACAAGCATCCAGCAGCATCCCGCCTTGGGTGATGATGCAGCCGTACAACTGCTTATTAATACTCGCGCACTCAATCGCGTTATATCCAATTCGCATTCGTATGATAAAAACCTGTGTTCCTTAGTACATTCATCGCGTTGTATCAAATTCGCATTATGAAAACACGTGTTATAGGAGAACAAACTGTACGTACAACTTTTTAACTATGATATAAGAAATGAGAAACTATTTTACAGCAGGTACTGACCAGCCAGTTGTAGACAGAATTCTAAGTTGATTGTAGAAAACGCAGCAGGGCAGTTTAGAGTACAGTAGCACAGTAGTACGATACTGTACGTATACACTGCCAGCTTCCTGAAGCTCCCGTTAACAACAACAACAACGACGGATCTAGGAGAAGCGCACGGCACAGCAAGATTTTGAGTGGCTGCGAATTTATTTTTCCGGTTACAGCAAAGGAAAAATGTGTCTTGCTGTCTCTATGGGGACCGATGCCGGTTAACGGAAACATTCCAGATGGTCTAAGTACCGGATAAAACCAGGGAGCTTTTTGCTGCGATTTGTTCAATTCTGGAGAGGGGCGCAGTGGAGTCACTCGTGGCCTTACACAGCAAGCGGCGGACGTGCAGGTTCGAATCCTGACCCTGGGCGCCTTTCTAATGTTGAGTTTACACAGCATAGAGACAGCACTTTCTGCAACAGTGTGTTAAGGCTACATGGGGCATCTTTGCCTATGCGAGGCAGATAACGGAGCTTTTTGCTGGATACAAGTCCGACTTTTCGACACTCAATACAAGTTTAACGCAGGCCACCCGTGTGTCGAGGCTGTGCGGGCGGTGTGCGTGCTGGCAGTGTGGAGTTATTGCCATGGAATCTTGCTGTGTTGGCATGCTTCTGCGTTTGTTCGACTGCGTGTTACAACACCTTCCAGTGGCGTAGCCATGACTCCCAGCTCGTAGAATCCAGCGTTCCCTTCGCTGCAGACGACCTGAGCAGACACACACACACACCCACAGAGACAAAGATTACCCGTGTAACCTTCAACCGACTGTTGGGGCAAGTGCTGCGAGTAGTAACAGTGCCTATGAAGGGGGGAACTGTGACACACAAGGGGGTGGGTGGCCGGCACCACGCCCAGCCGCCTGTGAGTGAGAGGGGGCAGCACTTATCAGCGAGTGTAGCTGCTGCCCTGTGAGTGAGAGAGAGGGGGCAGCACTCACCAGCATGTGAGCGTGGTTGCTGCCCTGTGAGTGAATGAGAGGGGGCAGCACTCACCAGCGAGTGTAGCTGCTGCCCTGTGAGTGAATGAGAGGGGGCAGCACTCACCAGCGTGTGAGCGTGGCTGCTGCCCTGTGAGTGAGTGAGAGAGAGGGAGGGCAGCACTCACCAGCGTGTGAGCGTGGCTGCTGCCCTGTGAGTGAGTGAAGGGGCAGCACTCACCAGCGAGTGAGCGTGGCTCCTGCCCTGTGAGTGAGTGAGAGGGGGCAGCACTCACCAGCGTGTGAGCGTGGCTGCTGCCCTGTGAGTGAGTGAAGGGGCAGCACTCACCAGCGTGTGAGCGTGGCTGCTGCCCTGTGAGTGAGTGAGAGGGGGCAGCACTCACCAGCGTGTGAGCGTGGCTCCTGCCCTGTGAGTGAGTGAAGGGGCAGCACTCACCAGCGTGCGAGCGTGGCTGCTGCCCTGTGAGTGAGTGAAGGGGCAGCACTCACCAGCGTGTGAGCGTGGCTGCTGCCCTGTGAGTGAGAGAGAGGGGGCAGCACTCACCAGCGTGTGAGCGTGGCTGCTGCCCTGTGAGTGAGTGAAGGGGCAGCACTCACCAGCGAGTGAGCGTGGCTCCTGCCCTGTGAGTGAGTGAGAGGGGGCAGCACTCACCAGCGTGTGAGCGTGGCTCCTGCCCTGTGAGTGAGTGAAGGGGCAGCACTCACCAGCGAGTGAGCGTGGCTGCTGCCCTGTGAGTGAGTGAAGGGGCAGCACTCACCAGCGTGCGAGCGTGGCTGCTGCCCTGTGAGTGAGTGAAGGGGCAGCACTCACCAGCGTGTGAGCGTGGCTGCTGCCCTGTCAGTGAGTGAGAGGGGGCAGCACTCACCAGCGTGTGAGCGTGGCTGCTGCCCTGTGAGTGAGTGAGAGGGGGCAGCACTCACCAGCGTGTGAGCGTGGCTCCTGCCCTGTGAGTGAGTGAAGGGGCAGCACTCACCAGCGTGCGAGCGTGGCTGCTGCCCTGTGAGTGAGTGAAGGGGCAGCACTCACCAGCGAGTGAGCGTGGCTGCTGCCCTGTGAGTGAGTGAAGGGGCAGCACTCACCAGCGTGTGAGCGTGGCTCCTGCCCTGTGAGTGAGTGAAGGGGCAGCACTCACCAGCGAGTGAGCGTGGCTGCTGCCCTGTGAGTGAGTGAAGGGGCAGCACTCACCAGCGTGCGAGCGTGGCTGCTGCCCTGTGAGTGAGTGAAGGGGCAGCACTCACCAGCGAGTGAGCGTGGCTGCTGCCCTGTGAGTGAGTGAAGGGGCAGCACTCACCAGCGTGTGAGCGTGGCTGCTGCCCTGTGAGTGAGTGAAGGGGCAGCACTCACCAGCGAGTGAGCGTGGCTCCTGCCCTGTGAGTGAGTGAAGGGGCAGCACTCACCAGCGAGTGAGCGTGGCTGCTGCCCTGTGAGTGAGTGAAGGGGCAGCACTCACCAGCGTGTGAGCGTGGCTGCTGCCCTGTGAGTGAGTGAAGGGGCAGCACTCACCAGCGAGTGAGCGTGGCTCCTGCCCTGTGAGTGAGTGAAGGGGCAGCACTCACCAGCGAGTGAGCGTGGCTGCTGCCCTGTGAGTGAGTGAGAGGGGGCAGCACTCACCAGCGTGTGAGCGTGGCTGCTGCCCTGTGAGTGAGTGAGAGGGGGCAGCACTCACCAGCGAGTGAGCGTGGCTGCTGCCCTGTGAGTGAGTGAGAGGGGGCAGCACTCACCAGCGTGCGAGCGTGGCTGCTGCCCTGCCTGCGACGGTCAATGAACACTGTGTCGATGCGATTCCCGTCCTGGGCCAGGAGACACGCGCGCTGGCCCTGGTGCTGAACACACACACGCGGGGTCGCGGGGTCACAGGGCAGCGGTCAAGAGGGATTGCAATACAGCAAGCGCAAGTCTGTGCGTGTGTGTGAACATGTGCGTGAGTGTGTGGGGGAGGGGTCGTGCAGCGGTAAGCGCACAGCGCTACGAACCTGGCGACCAGAGTTCGATTCCCGCTCACATTCAACACCCGTGACGATTATCTGAACCGACCTGGGCTGTGGGTTGTGTTCTTCATGCTTTTGGAGTCCCCGACTCTATGCTCACAATCATTAAGGACCTTCATGGATGGTGGGTGGGCCTGGGTAAAGTTACATGGCCAGGAGTTATAGCCATTCCTTGTTCACCTTGCGGTGCGATAGGAATGTCCTCTGGCTCCCACATTATTTAACATCATCTTTGACCACACAGTTTGAGAAGCCTTCCATGTCTGTACTGGTGGAATCTACATCTGTATGGGGACAATGTGAGGCTGATCGGTGCCCGGGTACAGTCGAGGGATGGCTCTCTCTTGGTCAACCATGTAATATACACTGATGATCTGGCGATTGCTGCTCACTAAGAGGAAGAGCATGCCACTAAGCAGTGTGGCCTTCCCATCAGCACCACCAAAACTAAGCACCTGCCTGGGTATTTTGTGCCATCAAACACTCCACCCCCTCAACTCGCCATTGGTGATGGGGCAGTTGTGGAGAGAGTGTAAAGTGTTCCATACCTGGGTAGTGTCCCCTTATGACCAGCTCCAGTTTGACAGGAGAGGTCTCACTCCGAATCAGTCAAGCGGCATTATATTGTCGTCAGCTGTGTGGGAGTTACCTGGTCTGTCACTCCACAAGAAGCTTCGGGTCTTCTCGGCCACGGTCATGCCCAACCTTCTCTAGGTTTTTTCGGTAAAGTCACGTAGGTAAAAAAATATTAAATTGGAGTGATGTGGTACAGGAGGACGTGGAGCTGAGTGGACTTGCCGATGACTGGTACCAGCGGTGTCAAGATTGGCTTTGGTAGAGGAGGCTTGTGAAGGACGCTACTGGGCAGTTGGAGGCAGATTCCCTCCAACAACAACGAAGGGCAGAGGAGCGATGCTCAACAACAAGCGGAGCGCCGAGCGGCTAAAACACAGCAAGTTAGCATAGTAGGGGGCACAGGTGGTGCAGTGGCCAGTCATCTCAGTCTGACAGTCAACCCATGGGCCTGGGTCTGTCCCGTGACCTCCTGCCAGAGGGTGTTCAACACTTCACGTGACCGTAAAGTGCATATAGCCTGGCACAAGCGCCATGGTGGTGATGTCACCGCCACTTAGTGGCGAATGGCGGTTGTTGTGCGTATCTGTGTGCACACGTGTGCGTGTGAGAGTCACCTCCTCTATGAGCTTGGCTCGTCCCTGTAGCAGCTGGGGTGCCACCATCTTCTGCAGTAGCGACACGGAGCCCGGGAACACGAGGCGCCGGCCCAACGTGTGTGCCAGCATGTAGCTACACACGAGGACAAGGAGACACACACGCTACATGCGCAGCTACACACACACACACAGCTACACATACAGCTACAAACACACAGCTGGGGAACAGGAGGTGCCTGCCCACCGTGTGTGTATCTGTGTGTGTGTGTATCTGTGTGTGTGTGTAGCTGTATACAACTACACACACAAACCTACACACAGCTACACACACAGCTACACACACAAAGCGACATACACAGCTACACACACACACACAGGCCTCACTGTCACCTGATCATCTGGCAGGGCAGCATGCGTATCCAGGCCAGGCCTCCGCGTGGACGCGGTGCATCGGCGGAGCTGAGGAGTGGAGCCCCGGGCCCACGCGTGGCACCCCTACACACACGCAACAAAGATCCCTCGCATTGCCTTAACAGACTGTAGGGGCAAGTGCTGTTAGCGAGCACCTATGAAGGCCGGCACGGCACGAGGGGGTGGGCGGCCAGCACCACGCCTGGCCGCATTTGTCTCCCCCAGTGGCAATATTTACAAATCGCATTGGGTACTCATTTGAGGCTGAGTCGACCTAGGGTAGGCCCAGGACTGTTTCAGATAATCGTCACTAGTGTTAGTGGCCGTGAGTGGGAATCGAATTCGGATCGCCAGGTTCAAAGCGCAGCGCGCTAACCACTACACCACCACTCCCCACACCAATAACATCACCAACAACGTCACCACCGAACACGTCACCACCAACAACGTCAACACCACCAACGTTAACAACACCACCAACAACAAAAACAACATCACCACCATCAACACCACCATAAAAATCACCAACAACATCACTACCCAGTTTAACACGTAGGCTGTTATTATGAACATCACTACCACCAACATCTCCACCAACAACACCATCACCAAAAACAACAACACCGCCACCAACATTATCAACAACAACAACACCAAGGACAAAGATCCCCCAAATAGCCTTAACAGACTGTAGGGGCAAGTGCGGTTAGCGAGCACCTATAAAGGCCGGCACAGCAGGGGGTGGGTGGCCAACACCACGCCCGGCCACCTTTGTCTCCCCAGTGGCAATGTTTACCCATCGCACCAGGTACTTGTTTTAGGCTGAGTCGACCTAGGGGAGGCCCAGGACCGGTTCAGATAATGGTCACTGGTGTTGGCCATGAGGGGGAATCGAACCCGGGTGGCCAGGGTTCGATTCCCCCAACATCAACATCGCCAACAAGATCACCAACAACACTTAACACATCACCAACATCATGTTAAAATACCGTACACTGCAGGAGTAACTGACAAACGAGACAGATTTTTGAAAAACAAAACATTAGAGTCAGATTTGGCACAGGACATGAAATACAAAAACGAATATCTGGTACTAAAGATGCATTACCGAAGCTATCAACAGAATGCACGTACCGGGTTAATTGCTCGTGGCAAATGCGATGTTTGGCAGACAGGACAAATGATCAGCATGAGACTAAAAGAACACCAAAGAAATATGAAATATTCCCAAATACAAATGTCAGCAGTGGCAGAACACACCGTGCCAAAAAGGATACTCAATTTATTTTTACAATGTTGAAGTTCTGTGCAAAACTAGTTACTACTGCCCAAGACTAATTCGAGAATCTATCGAATTTGAGAGAAATAAAATGTTATAACCATTCGTATAGCTACAGGCTTATTGCTGCTTGAAAGTGAATTACTACTATAATAGCCCAGAAATGTGTGTCACGTGCGTGACGTCCCTCCACATGCCGCACTGTATATAAATTTTGTTTTTTAAACATTTTTAAGCACAAAAATAGTTAATTATGCCATTTAATTCACAGTGTAATAGTAAACTAAATGTAAAAACATTGAATAACACTGAGAAAACCTTGAACAACAGAAAAAACTAACATTGCCGTGTCAAGGTTTAGAATCGTTCAACAAGATGATTGTTTCGTCTGCTACATCAGTCGGTCGATTCTGAGAGAGAGAGAATATTCGTATGAGCAATTCATGTTTCTATTGAAAGTAAGTTAACAGTAATATTTGGGTACAGTATTGTTTTTGGAAGCATTCACCGTAATATCGTATGAACGTTTACTTCACCGCATCATCGTATGAATGATGAGAGAAGAGATTAACGGGTTCTTATGTTAGCGATTTACGTACTCAGCGCTTTCGCTCTCTAAATTACGGCTTGAATGAGAGGGGAGGGGTATGACTACACTCACAAAATTAAGTTCACAGCGAATGAGCGCACGTCTGACCGAGACCGATTACTAAGCGAGACTGACGGAGCAAGCGGCCACACGTGGGTCGCTGTTGTTTGTAAACACACAACAGGAAATTTGGCGCTTACAAACAAAATGGCGCGGAAGGGGAAATCGGCCACGGCCGGGTTTGATCGCCACCCGAGTATGTGTTCGTGACCAGATAAAAAAAAAATATTTGGTCGTGGTCAGAAGCATTCGTGACCAGAGGTTCTATTGTATACCCTTGCGTATCTCAGTGTAACTGTGTGTGTATCCGTGTGTGTAGCTGTGTGTATCTGTGTCGCTATATGTATATCCATGTGTATAGCCGTGTGTGGAGCTTTATGTAGCTCTGTGTGTATCTCTGTGTAGCTGTGTGTGGCTGTGTGTATGTAGCAGTGTGTGTGGCTCTGTGTGTAGCTTATTGAAGGTTACACGGGGAATCTCTGTGTGCGTGCCACTCACTTTTCGCTGCCCTCGTTCCAGGAGAAGTCGACGGGCCAAGCGGAGAACTCAAAATCGTAGCGCGCCAGCAGTTTCTGCAGCATCAGACACACACACGGCTTTCCATCACAACGCTGACAGTGATGTTTGTTGCAGGTCGCTGGATGTTTTGGACCCTTTGGTCCAACACTCAACAACTGTTTTACAAAATGCCATCAACATCATCCTAATGGTCACCATCATCACACACCATCGTCAACACCTCCTCTGCCCTCCGTTGTTGTTGCTGGAGGGCGACCGCCACGTAAGCCACTTCGTTGAGTTATCATTAGTGGCCAGGTCGCTTCCGAAAGAGCTATATAGCTCAGCGGGCCTTACCTGGAAAAATTAAAATATTTTAGTTTATAGTTGATAACTCTCAGAAAACCGGCATATTTGATGAACCGGCAACCCCATCCAATCCCCGTGGATGCCGGATAACGGAGCTTCCGCTGTATCATGCGGTGATGCTGCCACTGCTACCGCTGCTGCATTAGCGCACAAACAACAGAACTCAACGCGCTCGCCAAAAACCCACGGGCATGTGGCTGCAACACCAGCGTGTGGTTTTCAACAATGCGAATTTGCTCAAATGCAACTAATGTGTATTACGGGGAACACGCATTTTTTTTATAACGTGGATGCGAATTTAATATATATTTGCTGATCTCGATTTAAAGCTTTCGTGACTGCAGGGATTCATCTTCTTGGTTCTTTCGGTAACGTCACGTAGAAGGGAAGTAATATAATAATAATAAAACATAATAAAATAATATAATAATATCATATTTTATTATGTTTTGTTTTTATTATTTTATTACTTCCCTTCTACGTGACTTTACCGAAAGAACCAAGAAGAGGTTTTGCTGATCTCGTCAAGGAGTATAAATCATTATCACGCAAACTCCGGTCATTCTCGCAGCAACAGTGGCTCCTGGCTAGCCGTCGAACAAAAACAGCATCGCGCGGCATTTTCAGATGCGCTTCTGCGGCCGTCTGGAACGCTCTTCCTCTCGATATTAGGAACCCACTGGGAGCTGTGCACTTTTGAATCATCATCTAAATTGATAAACTAATTTATTTACAACTGCTCTGTGTCTTTGGTTTGTTGTCCTTCCCCCACACCTCTGATTAGCACGGTTGGCTACGTACGGTGCAAAATAAGTTTAACATACATACATACATATAACGAGATTGAGCGAACGACGCCGCATGAGTAGAAATAAGTGGTCGTAATATACGGCTACCTCAGCGTAGCATCATCACACAAAGCATTGGGATGCTGCTGGATGCTTCTAGATGCTACTCACGTGCCTCAGTCTTTGTTCGGCATCTCGCGCGTTATCGCGGACTGTGCTTTACACCCAATATTACATATTATAATGCCATTTTTTTCCATAAACTATAAAGAAATATTTTACCAGGTTACGGTCCATTGAGCTCGACAGCTCTTGTTTAGAAGCGACCTGGCCACAAATGATGGCTCAACGAAGTTGCTTACCATGTGGAAAAGTATAGCAGCCAAATACTCTAAATGCACGTTAATTCTAAATGTGGAAGGGAAAAACCGGAGGACCTGGAGTAAAATCCACGCGACCACGGGGAGAACACGCAAACTCAAAATAATAAGCAGGCGTCAGGATCAGGATCGAACCCGCTACCTCCTGTATACCAGGCGAGGTAGTTGACATCTCGCCAACGTGGCAACCACGACCGCCACGTTATAGGAGAACACGGACTGAATACAACGGGTGATGATTCGGGCAACGGCCCTTCTTCATGAGCGAGCGAGAGCGCCCATCACCTTGTTGTCGAAGGCATTCCTCTGCTTGGTCTGCTCCAGCACGGTGATGAACTGCAGGTACTCCGGGTTCTGCCACCGACCAAGACCTGAACAGAGAGATGACAACTGCCGCTCAACACCAGGTGGCGCTGGGCGTCACCAGGCACTTTGCGCCAGGCTAGGTGCACTTTGAGGCCATCACATAAAGTGTGGAAGGCTCGCTGCTGGCAGGAGGTCACGGGACAGACCCAGGTGCCATGGGTTGACCGACTAAGATGACTGGCAGATGCACCAACCATGCCAACTTTTAGCTGCCCGGCGCACTGCCGGTTGTTGTGAGCGTCACTTCTCTGCCCTCCGTTGTCGCTGGTGGGCAATTGCCTTCCAACTCCCCCTCCTATCGTAGTTATTGAGCTGATCTCGCCCATGCTTTCCAATCACTCAAGACCAGGCTGTCTGCATCGCGACCCACTCGGGCCTTAAGGTCACCCAAGAGGATACCTCTATCCCGAGAGGCCACTTTAGCTGGCACGTGGGACAAGAGTTCATAGAAGGCATCCGGCTCATCGGCCTTACTTTAATCCCTCCAATGATGTCATCTTCAGTGGGGATATAGGCCGCCACCACTACCACCATCCCTCTCCTCCTGTTGATGGGGAGGAGAGCCCACAATAGCCTGGGACAAATAGCAGCTTCCAACACCCTCACCTCCACTCTCCCACACACCCTTCATTCAGAAATGGTCCACCGGACCCTCTTGCATTGCACAGAGCGTATATCAGACATTTCTACACAGTGGTTTCCTTTCTGGAGGAACCTCGAGGGGAGAGGGGTAGGGTGTTCAGTCTGGCTCCACCAAAAACGCATCATAAATGCCTGCATCCCTGGAGCCTCCAGCATCAGCTGATGGGCATTTCCACCGTAGAATTTGGTAGAAAGTGCCAAGTCGGAGGGGTTACCAGTCCCTTAAGCACTAATCTCGCGACAAAGACAAAGATCCCCCGTGTAACCTTAACAGACTGTAGGACAATAGTGATCGGGCGTGGTGCTGGCCACCCACCACCCTCTTGTGCCATGCCGGCCTTCGTAGGTGCTGCTACTCGCTAACAAGACTTGCTCCTACAATCTCGCTACACACAGTATTATAAACCCCCAGCTCATACTCAGCCTCACCTAGGCCTCACCACACTCACCCCATACAACAACCGCCATTCGCCACTAAGTGCGGTTACATCACCATGGTGCTTGTGCCAGGCTATGTGCACGTTGAGGCACGTGAAGTGTCGAATGCCCGCTGGCATAAGGTTATGGAGCAGACCCAAGTGTCACAGGTCGACTGACTGAGCTGACTGGCCGATGCACCACCTGTGCCCCCTACTGTGCCAAATTGCTGTGCTTTAGCCACCCGGCGCTCCGCTCGTTGTTGTGAGCGTCGCTCCTCTGCCCTCCATTGATGTTGGAGGGTGACTGCCTCTAACTGCCCAGTAGCGTCCTTCACAAGCCTCCTCCACAGAGGCCGATCTTGGCACCGCTGATACCAGTCATCGGCAAGTCCATTCAGCTCCACATCCTCTTGTACCACATCACTCCATCTCTTCTCTAGCCCGTGCAGTGCCCATTTCGCCCCTTCTATCCAGCCAAACAAAATCTGTTTAGGCATGCGGTGGCTGGGCATGCGGGTTACATAACCCAGCCAACGCAGTCTTGCCTTCTGGAGGAGCTCACCGATGGGACTATGTCCAGATCTTTCAAGGATTTGTGAGCTCCTCACATAATCCAACCTGGTTAATGCCAGGATAGATCGCAGGCAGGCCAGCCTAAATGTTTCTAACCGGCAAAGGTGTTCCATTAGGGGGGTCCATGTTTCGCAAGTGTAGAGAAGGGAGGGCATGACTGTGGCCGAGAAGACCTAAAGCTTCGTGTGAAGCGACAAACCAGGTAGCTCCCACACAGCGTTACGCAACCGATGAAAATATGCCACTCAACTAATTCGGAGACCTCTGCTGTCAAACCGGAGCCGATCATGAGCACACTGCCCAGGTATGGGAAACTCTCCACTCTCTCCACAACTGCCAAATCACCAATTGGGAGTTGTGGGGGTGGAGTGTCTGATGGTACAAAATACCCAGGCAGGTGCTTAGTTTTGGTGGGGCTGATGATCAGTGGCACGTGCCAGGTTTAGAAGCAGCACCTCCAACTCCTCCTCTGAGTGAGCAGCAATGACCAGATTATCAGCATACAAAACATGGTTGAGCAATAGGGAGCCATCCCTTGACCGCACCGATCAACCTCCCATTGTATTTGTACCAAATGGAAATTGCTCCGTTACAGCCATCGAAGGCTGCACGACCTACGTGGTTGAAATAGATGTTAAATAATGTGGGCACCAGAGGACATCCTTGTCGCACCCCAAGGTGTACAGGGAATGGCTCTGACTCCCAGCCACGTAGTTTTACCTGGGCCCGCTCACCATCATGAAGGTCCTTAATGATTGTGAACAAAGAATCAGAGACTCCGAAAGCACGAAGAACACCTCTGCTGTAGCAGATGGACAGAAAATATGGCATCCGTGCAGGACCGCCCTTTCCTGAAACCACATTGGGGCTCCGCAAACCTCTCCTCAGCGTGTCTGACAAGGCAATGATGCATAATCCTTGCCAGGACCTTTCCCGACACACTGAGGAACAAGATGCTCCTGTAGTTGTTCAAGTCTGTGCGGTTCCCATTCTTAAAAAGGGGGACAACCAGGGAATCCTTCCAGTCCTGTGGAACCCGTCCAGTGGTCCAGACTGTTGTTATGATGTGATGTAGGGCAGTATGTGCAAAAACACTACCCTCCCTCAGCATTTCACTTGGGAAATCATCTCTGCCCGGTGCCTTTCCTGGTCTCTAGACTATGGATCGCCTTCACTGTTCTTTCCCCTAACGATGGTAATAGGTGTGGCGCTGCAAGTTACTTTTTTGATGGAATTAAATAGCGATTTGTGATCGCGAGCCACTGAGGCAGATTCCATCTCCTCAGCAACCCTCGACCACCACCCAATTCTTGCAGTGCCTCACGGCTCTCCGAAACTCCGAGCGAAGGCTGCGGTAAGCCTCCTCATTCTTTGATATGGGATGCTGTAGACGATGAGAGTGGGCCCGTCACTTTTTCTCAGCCAGCCTGCACACCTCTGTCAGCCAGGGTCTCTGGGGAGGTCTGGACCATGTACCCAAGGCAACCATTCAGGCTGCATGAGCCACAGTCCTAAACCTCGCCCACTTCCCCTCAACATCAGGAGGATTGGGGGGCGATGCCAAACACTATGGGTTTGAATGGAGTCCTAGGTGTACACCCACTACCGGAGTGGAAGAATGGCAGGCACATCTTACAGATGACAAGTCGATGGTCAGTGGACAGATCAGCTCCACGGTAGGTCCTAGTGTTAAGGACATGGGCCCGCATCCGCTGTTCCGTCACTATATAGTCCAGCAGATGTTATTGCTTGGACCCGGCATGCATCCATGATGTTGTATGGATGCACCGATGCCGGAACAGCGCGTTGGTAATTACAAGCCCATGGGCTGCACAAAAATCTAGCAGCCTTCTACCATTGTTATTGAGCCGATCTGGTCTATGCCTTCCAATCACTCCAGACCAGGTGCCAGCATCATTACCAACTCGGGCATTAAAGTCACCCAACAGGATGACAGGAGACACTTTAGCTGGCACCTGGGACAGGAGGTCATATAAGCCAACTGACTCATCGGCCTTGCCTGCATCCCTCCACGGATGTTCGTCTTCAGTGGGGCATAAGTATCCACGACCACCACTCCTCGCCTCTGGTTGATGGGAAGGCGAGCCCAAAGTATCCTGGGGCTTACAGCTTCCCACACCTCACCGCCACGCTCCCATACCACCTACTTTCTTTTGTTCAGAAGAGCCACTCCCTGTTGTTTGGCAGTCTCCTGCCCCGAGTAGAGGACTGTCCACCCCTCATGGTGGCAGGAGCCAGAGCCGATCCACCGTACCTCCTGAATACCAGAGATCCAGGCAGTAATAATCCATCTCCCAACAGAGGAGTGGCAGCTTCTCCTCCGCAGTGAGCATTTGAACATTCCACATGGCCACCCGCAGTGGCTTTTTACTGTTTCTAGAGGAACCCCAAGGGTAAGGATTCAATCTCCTGGCTACGCCAAATGGGGTTTGGCCAGGAGACCTGATAGACGCCTGTCCCCCTGGGGCCTCAGGCACAAGCTTGGTTTGATATATATTTATTCCGTCGTTAATATTTTTCCGTCGTTTAGTGGTGCACAGACACACACAGAAGTACACACGCACACTCGCACGTGTGCATAAACAAAAAGACAAAGATCCCCCGTATAGCCTTACAAGACTGTTAGGGTAAATGCTGTGAGAAAGTAGCACCTATAAAGACACACACACATAGACAGACGTACTCAGACAGTAGCATTTCCTGTTGTAATCAGGTTGTGTAGTTGTGTTGCTGTGCAGTCAGAGTGTTGTGAATTTGTTGTCAATGCTCACTGCTGTGTGGCAATAGCTGTTGTCATTGTTGTAGTTGTTGTTGTCATGATTGTTGTGTTTTCTACCAGACCACTTGGAAACGTTATCCAGCCAACGGCTGCTGCTGTGTTTTTGTGTAATGCTTATGTAGTCGTCTGTTATTGGTGATGTAGTTATATATTTGTATATCTAGAACTATTTAAAAAAAAATTAACCACGGAAGGCCCACTGAGTTTCTAGCTCCTTTTCAGAAGCAACCTGGCTATCACAAATGATAGCTCAATGAAGTGGCTGATCATCACGTGGCAATGTATAGCAGCCAAATACTCTAAACAAGTGTTGTTCTAATTGTGAAGGGGAAAAATCGAAGGACCCGGAAAAAAATCCACCTAACCACGGAAAGAGAGCGAGAATACGCAGACCGTATAGGCCAAATGTACAGGTGTCAGGGTCGGGATGGAACCGACGACCTCCTGCATACCAGGCGAGGTAGTTAACATCTCGCCAGTTGTTGCGTTGGTTGTGTAGTTATAACGTCGTGTGTAATGTTGTGTAGTTATGAAGTTGGGAGCAGTAGGCGCATTGGTCAGTGCGCTGCGCTACGAAGCCGCCGACCCAAGTTTGATTCCCGCTCACAGCCAACACCAATGACGATTACCTGAACTGGTACTGAGCCTCCCCTAGGTGAACTCGGCCTCAAATTAGTATCTGGTGCTCGATGTGTAAACATCGCCACAAAGGGAGATAAAAGACGGCTGGGCGTGGTGCTGGCCACCCACCCATACGAGGGAATGTTTGTCTTTGTTTTTGTAGCGATGCAGTTGTTGTGTCGTTGTGTTGTGGTGGTTACTGTACAGTGTGGTTGTGTAGCCATACTGTAGTGTGGCTGTGTAGTGATACAGCTGTGTGTGGTTGTTGGGTTTGTTGTGGTTGTTGTGGTTGTTGTGGTTGTTGTGGTTGTAAGCTCTGCACACCACGTAGGCAGGTCACCCCCAGCAGCAGCAGAATGACGGAGCCCAGGATCTGGGTGAAGGAGGCCGTGCGGTCCCAGTGTAAGAGACCTGGGACACATGGGGAGCCACGTGGACACACATTGAGGTTGTGTTCGTGGTTGTGGTGGATGTCGTGTTGGTTGTGGTGGTTGTGGTGGATGTCGTGGTGGTTGTGGTGTGATTGTGGTGGATGTTGTGGTTGTTGTGGCGGTGTTATTGGTGGTGGAGGTCATGGTGATTGTGGTTGTGTGGTGGTTGTGGTGGATGTCGTGGTGGTTGTGGTGGATTTCATGGTGGTTTTGGTGGTGGTTGTGGTGGATGTCATGGTGGTGGTGGTGTTGGTGGATGTGGTGGTGTTGGTGGATGTGGTGGTGTTGGTGGATGTCATCGTGGCTGTGTGTTGGTTGTGGGGTTAGTTGTGGTTGTGGTGGTACCTCTGCGGTACATGAAGCCCACGAGGAGGGGAGAGGAGTAAAATGTAAAACTCCATGCCCAGGAGGCCTAGAAACAAAACATCACCGTTACGACACCACAACCACGACCACAGCCACGTCACCTACAACCTCTAAAACCACAACAATCAATCACCACAACCATAACGGCAACCACTATAACCACAACTTCCACAACCACTACAACCACAACTACAACCACTTACACTAAAATCACACAATCGCCATCATATCCATGTAACAACCACGCAAAGTGGTGAGCATGGGGAGTGCGGTGGAGAGCACGGTGAGGATCAGTGGTGAGCGTTGTAGAAACTTGTGAGTGTGGTGAGTGTCGTGAGTGTGAGTGTGGTGAATGTGGTGGTGGCAAGTATGGTGAGTGAGCGAGTGTGGCGAGTGAGTGTTGTGCACCGATTTGCAGTGCTGTGGTGATAGTAAGGTGATCGTGGTGTAGCAAGTGTGAGTGTGATGGCAAATGTGCTGAGTGTGCCGAGTGTGGTCACTATGATTTGTAATGGTGTGGTGATGGTAACGTTATCGTGTTGAGTGTGGTGAGTATTGTTTTTGGTGAATGTGGTGGTGAGTGTGGCGAGTGAGTGAGTGTGGTGAGTGAGTGTGGTGAGTGAGTGTGGTGCACTCTTGATTTTCTGTGGTGTGATGGTGGTAAGGTGATCGTGGTGAGTGCGGTGAGTGTGTGTGGTGAGTCTAAGTGTCGTGCACTATGATTTGCAGTGTGGTGGTGCTGGGTAAGGCGATTGTGGGGTTGTAGTATTTGTTGAGTGGTATACAAGATGTGATTGGCATGGACTTGTATTGTGGTGAGTGTTGGGAGTTTGGTAATGGTGGTGGTGAGGGTTAGTGTGGTGGCGAGTGTGATGTAATGTTGCTAGTTATTTGCGGTGGTGAGTGTGGTGGTGAGTGTGGTGGTGAGTGTGGTGGTGAGTGTGGTGGTGAGTGTAGTAGCGAGTATGGTATCGAGTGTGGTGGTGAGTGCGGCTGGAAGGGCGGCGGTGAGTGTGGCGGTGAGTGTGGTAATGAGTGTAGTAATGAGTGTAGTAATGAGTGTGGTAATGAGTGTGGCGGTGAGTGTGGCGATGTGTGTCGTCAAGACACATCGCTCTAGCACGCTCGGCTGGTAGTCATGCCGACTGTGGTGAGTGAGGTGTGGTGAGGGCTGCTGGTGAGGGCAGTGTGGTGAATGGTGAGCATCTCACCCACTGCAGCAGTGCGTCTGACCGTCGCTCCAGCGCGCTGGGCTGGTAGTCATGGCCCTGTAATACAAAGACAAAGATCCCCCGTGTAGTCTTAGCAGACTGCTGGGGAAAGGGCTGTTAGCGTATAGCGGCTCGGCACAGTGGCACACGAGGGTGTGGGTGGGTGGCCAGGTACTCATTTGAGGTTGAGTCGACCTAAGCGAGGCCCAAGACCGATTCAGACAATCGTCGCTTGTGAAGGCCATGAGCGGGGAATCGAGCTATCATTTGTGGCCAGGTCGCTTCTGAAAAATAAATGAATACCTCAGTGGGCTTTGCTTGGTAGGGTGGGAATGGTTGTTGAATTTGTATGTGTTTGGGTGATTTGTTTACCTTTCTTGTACTTTGTACTATCATGTTTTTGTATTGTTTGTTGCTGTAATGTTCTTACACACCCTGACTGGACATCTTTGAAAATTTGATTTATAGCTCAAGGGCCATCCTTAAATGACGTCACGCACCTAGGGGGGGTCAGACATTTGTGACGATGTGTGACGAGGGGGGGGGGGGGGGGGGGTTTGAGAAATGTGACGTCACATCAAAAAGCGCAACTTTAAATAGACAACACGTTCTACTTAATTAAATAGACTTTTAAATAAATGTTTTCTCCTACAACACCAGAGTGCAGCGCCACATTAAATACGCACTACAATGACAATAGTTGAAAGCGATTTGAAGCATGTTTTATATATTTTTTGGGGGGGGGGGGGGGCAGAGCTTTGTGACGTCATATTTGAGGGGGGGGTCTGACTTTTTGTGACGCCGTGTGACGATGGGGGCGGGGTCAAAGATCATCCTAAATCACGTGACGTTATTTATGGATGGCTCATCGGATTACTCCAGTATAAATACATATTCTGATTCCCACAAATAGCAATCACTTCTCTCTCTCTCTCTCTAAATGCCAGTGATACTAAGCGATTCATATTGCCAGAACATACATTTTAAATAAAATGCAGCTATTATGGTGGTTTTTATAGGTTGCCGGCTCATGAAGCCGGTTGTTGTAATTACCGGAGAAACATTAAAGTACTCTCCAACACAACAACCGGTGAGTAATGAACTAGGTAACTAAGTGTCAGGTTTTTTTTACGTGACAAAGTTTAAGAATTGGCTGTGTCGAGTAGTGGCAGGTTTAACGACACATTTATATATTTACGCGATCTACCCCAATTAACTCTATTATGGAAATTGGTCGCGAAGGTCTACATGTTAAACTGACCATCCTAGACTCTCACCCAGTTCCGTAGGAGTGCTTCTGCTGCTGCTCTCACCATCCTAAAGATGAGGCTGGTTGTAATTACCAGGCGAAACGTGGCGGGTACTCGAATGGTAAATGTTGATGTGTATTACTCCCCAACACACAACCGGTGAGTGCTGAACCTAGTCATTAAAAAATTGGCACGTTTTGTTTTACGTGACATTACTGATTGGCCATGTCGAGCGGTGATGGTGGCAAGTGTAACGACATATTTATACGTTGACACTAACCCACCACAAAACCACCTCTATTATGGATATTCGTCGTGAAAGCTTACTCCAGTAGATTATCGATTATCCGGCGGCTTTGGGGGCGCCGGATTTCATAAACGCCGGATAATCACTAACCATGATTTAAAATAGCTTATTTTTGCACATAGCGTAACATTTTGTTTTTAGGTGTTGTATATAGGTGTTTTGTGATTTAAATGTGTTTACTATATGGAATTGGCATAAATAAAAAGAGACATATCCTACTGTTAAACGTTACAGTATTCACTGTACCGTACTTACACACACTCAAATCTCGATGACTGCATCACGGGGTTGATGTACGGTAGCTCTTGTCTCACCACGACCACGTGTTTAACTATCGCCGGAATGATACGAACACCGAATCACACAACGCACTTGTCACCGGATCGGTGTATATTTTCTGTTTTTATTTCTGAAGTTATTAGTCGCGGTAAAAAAAATGTTTATGCAGTATTTTCAGTAAGTTGTTTGTATGCAGTGTATAATGTACCGTATATATTTGATTGACACTGATATCAAGCGTAGCTACTTCATTTTGTCACACAAAAGGTGCTGATCGCCGGATGTTGGAGGCAGCCGGATAATCGATGATCAACTGGATTAATTTTGTTTTACACCAAAATTGTAAAAAAAAAATGTCTCGTTATTTTGGTTTGCCGACACCACCCTGTTCCAGACTTGTGCTGTGTTCTCCACAAAATGGTACTGTATTTTATCGACCCTCCCGGAATGATTGTTGATGGGGTTGGGTAACCCCACCAAGCAGGATTTCAGCACAGGCAAGTCGCTGGAGTTGCTGTTCCCATTTCAGCTCCCTGCCCCTGGAGGGTTGAGTCATACTATTTTATTTATTAATACGACACGCTCTCTATTAACTCACTCTGTCGTTGTATCCTCAAATCTTGTAACTCAACATTAACCCACTTCCCAATGTGGTATCGACTACAAACTTGGTATACATATGTCATACTGATGACAATACTATATTCTATCATAAAATATAAAAACATATATTTTAAAACAATCTTTTTTACATGTTATGTTTCGCCTTGGGTCTAATTGTCCACGCTCAACTAACGTTGGCTGTAAATCACCACGGTCTCTTACGTTACGGCAAGCTTCGGGGCCACTTCCTGGAGTCGTGGAGTTCTTCCATTACGAGTACGGTACATTTCATACTGGTAGGAACCTGATGGTTACACCAGCCCACAGGGGATTATTGTGTCCGTCCGTCCGTCGTGCAGGGAGGGGCTGAATGGGGAGGGGCTGGGTGGGGAGGGGCTGGGTGGAAGGGGGGGGCTGGGTGGGGCTGGGTGGGGAGGGGCTGGGTGGAAGGGGGGGGGGCTGGGTGGGGAGGGGCTGGGTGGGGAGGGGCTGGGTGGGGAGGGGCTGAGTGGGGAGGGGCTGGGTGGGGAGGGTGGGGCTGGGTGGGAGGGGCTGGTCACCCCGTGGTGCCCTTATAAAACTCAACGTTTAACCTACTCACGCCGGCTTGTGCCCGCCCTGACAGTCGGGCGGAATACACCACGCCGCCGTTGACCCTGGCCATTGACCGAGCAACCCAACGTTCCTACCAGCTCCCTCCGCAGGAATGTCTTTAAACAGTGTTTTTAAAAAAGTTTTTTTTAATATTACTTAATTTATGTTTTACCAGGTATAAGCCCAATTTAGCTATAAAGCTCTATTTCAGAGCGACTAGCTATCATAAATTATAACTCAACGAAGAGGCTTGTCATCGTGGGAAATGTATAACAGCAGCCAAATGCTCTAAATGCGTGACGATTCTAAATGTGCAGGAGCCGGAGAAAATCCACGCGATCAAGGGTAAGAGAGACTTGCAAACTCTAAATATACAGCAGCAGCAGCAGGCGTCAGGGTCGGGATTGAACCCACGACCCCCTGTACACCAGGCGAGGTAGTAAACAGCGGAGGCTCTGGTTATGGTGGTGATTCTCCTGGGAGGCTGCGGGTTAAGAGTTGGGCGCTCGGCAGGGTCAGAGTTGGGGTGGAGGGTGAAGGCGTCAGGGTCAGCGCTGGGGAAGGTACGGGGGACCCCCAGTGAGCAGCGGCGTTGCCCGAGAGCCGTGACCACTCCGGTTCGAGTTCCGACGCGGGCGGATTACGCCGTGGTGTGAGCAAGGGGGTCCAATCTACCCCCTTCGGTGAGGGGTGGTGGTGGACCTCACCGATCCCTCGCCGCGGCAGTGGAGGCGATAGAGTCGCGGGCCCAGCACGCAGCGAAGAAGCAAAGCAGCCGCCATTGAATCTTGCTGTCCACTGGCAGGATCGATTCCCGACCTAATCGCCACTACTCGACGACTCCTGCCGTATCGATTCCCCCTCTAAACCTATATCAGGAACCGTGGGAATCGAATGTGCTCGTTATTTTAAAGAATCGAACGTGCTCTTGACGTTGAGAAACGATTAACGATTGCGCAACGGTTGGAGCCGGGTTGATGGATTATTTATTTTTGGTATTTCCGGAAGCATCGGTGACCTGTGATTGTGCAGACTACAGCAGGAAGAAGAAATCCGATTAGCTATGAAGCTCTTCCCCCCCCCGCACAGATGTCCAGGAGGCACGCGGGGATGGTCAGAAAGTCCCAACAGCAAAGACAGAACAATGGGAGTGCAGAGCACTGTATAGGGGAAAGTTAAGCACATTGCAATATATAAATGCAAAATACATGGAATAATTAAAATGTATTTATTCTGCAGAAATCCGATGAGCTATAAAGCTCTTTATCACACAAGTTCAGGAGAGGCACAGGGTAAGAACATTACAACAACAAATACAAAAACATGACATTAATGCAAAAATCCAAGGTAACAACATCACCCAAACACATCCAAATACACCCCTAAACCATTCCCTACCCTACCAGGCAAAGCCCACCGAGGATGAACTTGTTTTTCAGAATCGACATGCCCACAAATGATCGCTCATCAAAGTAGCCCATTATTTGGACATTTTAAGCAGAAAAAAAATCGAAATAACTTCAATACATAACAAAAATACATATAATAGGTAATACGTATTTATACCGAAGGAATCCGATGAGATATAAAGCTATTTTTCACAGTACGTCCAGTATATACATTAAAGTATATTAAGTACAAATTGCATAGATCCATCAGTTCCCAAGTTTGGTGGCAAGGCATCAACACAGCAGCAGTCTCTCAAATTGCATTCCACATTCGCCTTGTACGATCGACACGACTACGACGGGTAAAATGATCACCGTTACAGATCAGATTTGCAAAAGAATGTGTTTGCTTTTCGATTTAAAGCTTTCGTGACTGCAGGGATTCATCTTCTTGGTTCTTTCGGTAAAGTCACGTAGAAGGGAAGTAATACAATAATAAAAATAAAACATAATAAAATAATTCTCATGACGTTTCGGCCACAACGCAAGCAGCCGTCCTCAGGTGAAACCAGGTCTGTCGAGGCGACAGCGTTAGACGCTGTCATACCGCGAGATACGCCAATGTTGGACACACAAATAAATTGTCACGCACAACGAGTCTGTGTGCAAAATCTCAGCTCGATTGGATCACGGGAAGTGGGTTAAAAAACTACCGAAAGATTTGCACGGTCGTAAGCGCGCAAGCAAGCAAGCAAGTGAACTTAATAGAAAGGATTTAAATACAGGATTTAAAAATGGAAGGAACTGGGAAAGAGAGGGAAGACCTAACAGAGACGACGAGATCATAAAAGGTTGGTTGCCAGAAATGTGTGGCGCGCTACTTGAGCATATTGGCACTACAAGACAGAGAAAGGAAAGTGGAAACAACGAATTATGAAATGTGCAGTGGACCATCTATCTGTAAAGTATTTTTAAAAATGTTACCAGGTAAGGCCCACTGAGCTCTGTAGCTTGTTTTCAGAAGCGACCACAGCCTATCACAAATGACAGCTCAACGAAGTGGCTTATCATGTGGACATTATTTTATAGCAGTGGCCAAAAACTCGAAACGGATGTCGATTCTAAATGTGGAGGCAAAACCTGGAGAAAAATCCACGCGTCCACGGGGAGTCCGTGCAAACTCCAAATAGACAGCAGGCGTCAGGGGTCGGGATTGAACCGACGTCCCTCCTGTATACCAGGCAATCACCATCTTGGCGCTCCAACTACAGACATATCTGCCCCATGGATAGTGATGATGATTGTAACTAATTGTATTAAGGGGCCGTCCATAAATGACGTCACGTACCTAGGGGGGGGGGGGGGGGGGTCAGACATTTGTGACGATGTGTGACGAGGGGGGGGGGGGTGAGAAATGTGACGTCCCTCAAAATGCGCAACTCTAAATAAATATAGACAACACGTTCTACTTAATTAAATAGACCTTTTAATACATGGTTTCTCCTACAACATCAGAGTGCAGCGCCACATTAAATACGCACTAAAATGACAATAGTTTAAAGCGATTTGAAGCGTGTTTTATTTTGGGGGGGGGGGGCAGAGCTTTGAGGGGGGGTCTGACTTTTTGGGACGCGTGTGAAGAAAGGGGTGGGGGCCAAAAATCGTCCAAAATCGCGTGGCGTCATTTATGGACGGCCCCTAGCTGGACAAATCCTGGATGCGCTGGTGTCAGATCACTCGATATTAACAGAACAGCTGCATGTGAGCAGTGCCCGCAGGCTACAGGGGAGGTGACGCTGCAGTGGCCCAATGAGTTGCTATGCTTACTTGTGTAGTAAGTATATATGGAGGCTTGACGACAGGATCGGAGGCACACTTATTTATTACACCAACACAGTCATTACAGGTCACTTGGCTACAGGGATTTCTCGACAGCTAACCCCTCTAACCTATACCAACTCCTCCACTACGGGACTAGGGGAGGCTATCTGTCCCAGCTTGGTTAAGCTGGGATCCCGGCTCCCTGAGTCACCAGACCAGCTTCGTCTGGGCTCTCGGGGCCACGCCACCGGCTTGCCCTGGTCGGCCCTTAGAAGGACAGCGAGCCAGGGGAGCTCCAGGGCCTATACTAGCAGGTCTTCGTTCTTCTCTGGTTAAAGCTGAGTCCCGACCTCGAGCCCTCGAGCTCATCACCTTTTATAGGACTCGCCCCCGAGGGGGGGCCCGTGGGGGATACACATGCGGACGTCGGTGCGAGCGCCACCCTTGTGTACGGCCGTAACCCCGCCCCTTGTGTTTGTTGGCCATCCATGGCCATGCATAATCACACCTCAACATTCGTAGCCATGCGCAATTACACCTCTACACTTGCATCCATCATAACCTTTAGAACTGCGTTTTTCTCAGATTCTTTCTTATACAGAACCGCTTGTCGTTATGTTCAGCTTGTTGTCCTACCCCCGCACCTACGATTAGCACCATTTCGAAAGAAGTTACATCCTGAAAACCGCATCCTCTGCACAAGCCCATGACAGCAGCAGATGCGGATACCTGATCCACAAATTGAAGGGAAAAAAACATGATCCAGTCGTGGTGGCTCTACCTGTGGTCATCCAGAACAAGATACCCGTAGCGTAGTACAAAGTATAACCGACCACGCAATGATGTCCCCGATCCACAAATACTGAAGGAGACACCGCAGCGATGAACACACTCCGCTGCTAGTTCAAATTTCAAGTTCATTTATTAGGTATAGCCCTGTGAGCCATTCGGCTCTTGAATCGGGTTGACGTGGTGGCGAGGAGATGTTAACTTCCTCGACTGATATGCAGAAGGAGGAGGAGGGCCTGGGTTCGATCCCGACCCTGACGCCTGCTGTCTATTTGGAGTTTGCACGGTCTCCCCGTGGACGCGTGGATTTTTCTCCAGGTTTCGCCTCCACATTTAGAATCGACATCACGCGTTTAACATATTTGGCTACTGCTATGGGACCGTCCATAAACAACGTCACACACCTAGGGGGGGAGGGGTCAGACATTTGTGACGATGTGTGACGATGGGGGGGGGGGTGTTTGAGAAATGTGACGTCACATCAAAATACGCAACTTTAAATAAATATAGACAACACGTTCTACTTAATTAAATAGAGTTTTTAATAAATGTTTTATCCTACAACATCAGAGTGCAGCGCCACATTAATTACGCACTACAATGACAATAGTTGAAAGCGATTTGAAGCATGTTTTTTTTTGGGGGGGGGGCAGAGCTTTGTGACGTCATTTTTGAGGGGGGGGGGTCTGACTTTTTGTGACGCCGTGTGACGAAGGGGGGGGGGGGGTAAAAATCGTCCAAAATCGCGTGACGTCATTTATGGACGGCTCCTATACATTTCCCCACGCTGATAAGCCACTTCGTTGGCCAAGTCGCTTCTAAAAAAAATCTACATTGCTCAGTGGACCTCACGATGCTACATCAGCGAGCCCATTCGACAAGATGAGGAGGGAGATTGATTTCAATCGAGCAACGCCGATTCCTCATGTTGTCGTTGCAACGACGTGACGTCATCTTTACATTGTCGCTGTCTTGGCGGGATGACGTCACTCAGCGTTCCTGTCGTTGCGATTGCGTCACTGGCGCTCGGAGGGAGATGTTGCTCGGGGCGTTCGCATGATGACCTCCCGGGATGTCACTCCCCTCCATCTCTCTCTCTCTGTGTCGACAGTCGCGATGACGTCACTCTGGAGCCGAAAGATGGCGTCACCAGTAGCATCGGGTGTTTGCTCGCGCGCGTTGTAGGGATGACGTCACATATGGCTCACACACTCCGACGGCGACAGCGATGAGGTCACTCAGGTGGTGGGAGGGGAGATGACGTCACACAGGTGGGTTATGGAGGTGACGTCATCGCAGTCGGCCGCCATTCTTGGCCGGATGTGAGGCGCGGGAACGAAGGCGGCGCGCCTGAGGAGATTCACAAGTTGTAGGGCAACAACAACAACCACCACCACCACCGCCACTAACAACCACCACTAACAACCACCACCACCACTAACAACCACCACTAACCACCACCGCCACTAACAACCACCACTAACCACCGCCACTAACAACCACCACTGCTACTACCACCACCGCTACTACAACTACTAACCACTACTAACAACTACAAACCACCACCATCCACCACCAACCACTACTACTACTAACTACTACCACCATTACCACAACCACCACCACTACTAACAACAACCACCACTACTACTACTAACAACAACCACCACGACTACCAACCACCACTGCTACTACCACCACCACTACTACAACTACTAACCACTACTAACAACTACAAACCACCACCAACCACTACTACCACCAACCACTACTACTACTAACTACTACCACCATTACCACCACCACGACTACTAACAACCACCACCACCACTATTATCAACC